GGGGTGCCCAGAAGTGCCCACGGGTGCCTAGCCCAATAGCCCTATATCCCTATAGCCCAATAGCGAAATCGCCATATATCCCTATAGCACTATAACCCTATAGCCCTATAGCCGTACCTATACGACCACCCTTCGGGTGATAAGGAGGTTCGGGGGGGGGGGGAACCAACGTCTCACTCGATCGGTCTCACTATCGATCTCAGTATCGATCTCGCTATCGGTCTCGCTCGATCGATCTCACTCGATCGATCTCACAATCGATCTCACTCGATCTATCTCATTCGATCGATCTCACAATTGATCTCACAATCGATCTCACAATCGATCACACAATCGATCTCACATTCGGTCTCAATATCGATCTCACTATCGATATCACAATCGCTCTCACAATCAACGTCGTCATCATCATCATCATCAACATCATCAACATCAACATCATCACCAACATCGTCATCATCATGAGGGCACCGTCATCATCATCATCATAAACATCATCATCAACGTCAGCATCATCATCGGGACACCATCATATCATCATCATCACCATCATCATCTCATCATCAAAATCATCATCATCGGGACACAGTCATCGTCATCATCATCAGCAGCATCATCATAATCATCATCATAATCGGGACACCATCATGATCACCATCGTTCTTATCATCAACATTATCATCAACATCGTCATCGTCCTCGGGACACCGTCACCATCATGATCATCACATCATCATCATCGACATCATCATCAACAACATCATCATTGGGGCACCATCATCATCATGAGCAACATCATCATCAACATCGTCATTCTCATTATTATCATCATCGGGACACCATCAGCATCAGCATCATCATCATCACCATCATCATCATCATCAGCATCATCATCGGGACACCATAATCATCATCAACATCATCATCATCAACATCATTATCGCCGGGACACCATTTCCATCAACATCATCATCACCAACATCATCGGAATCATCATCATCATCATCATCATCATCATCATCATCGGGTCACCATCACCGTCATCATCATCAACATAATCATCATGAGCATCATCATCCTCATCATCGGGACACTATCATGGTCATCGACACCATCATCAACATCATCATCATCTTCACCGGGACACCATCATCATCATCTCATCATCATCATCATCATCATCATCATCATCATCATCATCATCATCATCATCATCTCATCATCATCCTCGCGGGACACCGCGGGACACCGGCGGGACACCGCGGGACACCGCGGGACACCGCGGGACACCGCGGGACACCGGTGGGACATCGCGGGGCCCCGCGCCCCGGATGAGAAACATTTGGTCCAGCCGCGCCTCAGCCACAGGAGGACACCGCGGGACACCGGCGGGACACCGCGGGGCCCCGCGCCCCGGAAGAGAATCATTTGGTCCGGCCGCGCCTCAGCCACAGGAGACTTTTTCTCGCCCGCCCACGCAGCTTCGCCTCGCACGCACGGCACGCACGAACACGAAACCGAAACCGATTTCCCGGTGGGGGGCTCGCCGTTCCACTTCGATCTCACCCCCTCACCTCCGATAGCCCTATAGCCCAATAGCCCAATAGCCCCATAGCCCCATAGCCCCATAGCCCCATAGCCCTATAGCCCTATTGCCCTATAGCCCTATAGCCCTATGGTCCTAAAGCCCTATAGCCGTATATAGCCCTATAGCCCTATAGCCCGAATAGCTTTATAGCCCTTGGCCTATAGCCCTATAGCCCTGTAGCCCTATAGCCCCATAGCCCTAAAGGCTTCTAGCCCTATATCCCTATGGCCACATCGCCCTATAGCCCCATAGCCCTAAAGCCCTAAAGCCCCATAGCCCCCCCAAATTCTGATTGGGTTTTTCTCTGGTATCATTGAATCTTCCTCCCGTAGAGGGACAGGCCCGACTTAAACACTGGTGGCCCCCGAGGACGGGCCCCCTCGAGGATGAGGAGGAGGAGGAGGAGGAGGAGGAGGAGGAGGAGGAGGAGGAGGAGGAGGAGGAGGTAGGAGGAGGAGGAGGAGGGGGACGGGGAAGGGGAGGAGGAGGAGGAGGAGGAGGAGGAGGAGAGGAGGAGGAGGAGGAGGAGGAGGATTATGAGGAGGAGGAGGAGGAGGAGGAGGAGGAGGAGGAGGAGAAGGGGAAAGGGGAAGGGGAAAGGGGAGGGTGGCCCCCCCCCCTGGACGTGGCCACCTCGTCTCTCGTGCCTTCGCCGCGCCCCCCGATCCTGGAGCGCATCTCGCAGCGGGCTCCCTCGCGAGAACACGCCCCAACTCGAGAGGAGCCCTGGGACTCACAAGTAAACAGACACAGGTAACAGGATTCCCCATCTTTGCTGGATCCTCTGGGTTTTCGCCTTCCCCCCCCACTTCCCATGCATCTTCCCATCTTTTCCTGGGAGTCGACGGTTCGTTGTGTCATTTTTTTTTTTTTTTTTTTTTTTTTTTTTTTTTTTCCCCCTCCTGGCACCTGCTCCTCCCCCGGTCGCGTCACGGCTCGCGCCCGCGCCGTCTGGGAAGGAGCCGTCCCCAAGCATTTTCTCGGACGGCTCCGGAACGAATCGTGGCGTGCGCGGCCCTCCCTTCCCCCCCTCCCTCACCCCTCCCCGTGTCCCGCCCGGTGTCGCCAGGGGGGAGGATAGGGGGCCACATGCGAGCCCTACCCCTACCCCCCACGATTTCTGAGGGGGAGGGTGGGGTTCACCTCGCTCGGGAGCTCCCGAAAAAAGTGAACCCCACCCTCCCCCTCAGAAATCGTGGGGGGCAGGGGCAGGGCTCGCACGTGGCCCCCAGGAGGAGGGCCCCCTAAGGAGGGCCCCTTCGACCTGCTGCTCCGCGTCTCCCCGCAGCGCGGGGGGGAGGGCCAGCCGCGCCGCGCAAGCTCGCCATCGCTCGGACGCCCATTCCCTGTGTTTTTTTTTGTCGGTTTCGTGCGTGGTTTTTTCGCCAAGTGATCAGGGATGCTCCTCGATGGCCCTCGCCGAGGAAAAAACGCACACGTCCGAGCGATGCCAGGCCCTAAGGAGGGCCCCTTCGGCTTGCTGCTCGGCGCCTCCCCGCAGCGCGGGGGAGAGAGCCGCCGCGCAAGCAGCAGCTCTCTCGGAGCTGCTCTCGGCGGGGGCGCCCCGGAGCGGCGCGGGGGCCCCCGTGCCCGGCGCGCGGAGCGCGCTGCGGGGGGGGGGGGGCGCCGCGGGCGGCGCCGCCAGGGAGGCGCAGCGCCAATTTGAAATCCGTGCATTTTTTTTTTTTGTTTTTTTTTTTTTTTAATTTAGTATTAAAATACATATATATGTTTTTGTTTTTGTGTGTGTGTGTTGTATATATTTATATAATTGTTTTGTTGTCTCCTCTTTGTTTGTTGTTCTTATTCTTTTTTTCGTGCTTTTACTTTTTTGTTTTCCCTTGACTTTCTTGTTTTTTCCCCCACCCCCCTCCGACGGCCTATTCTTTGTATATATATATATATATATATGCATATATATATATATATATATATATATATATAACGTGGTCTGTTCGTCGATAACTGCTGGGGGTCTCTCTGCAAACTGAGACTCAAACGGGCGGAGAAACGGAACGGGTCCCAAGCGAGATGACGTAGTGAGGAAAACAATCATCGTGTGGGGAGGACGGGGTTGGGAGGATGAAGGGTATGAGCAATAGCATCCAGATGCAATGAGCGATACCTACGGCCGCCTACGGGCAAGGACATCCTCATGTCTCCCGACCGCATCCTCCCAACCCGAAAATTGTCTCCCTGACATAGCGACCTCACGCGGCGGCCTGAGCACGCCGCCAGAGCGGAACACGACGGTAGAAACGAAGGCGCTGACGCGCGACTTGACGGCGCCTCGGTTATTGCGGGGCACGGGCCCTCGGGCTCTCGACCCCTTCCCTGGGACCGGTTGAGCAGCCCGCATCGATCCCTGACGGTCTCGAGGCCTGGGAAGAGCCCCGAGAGGCCGAAAATCATTGAAAAACCGGTCTCGATTTTCCCAACCCTCCCGTGTGTTGCGTCCTCGTTTTGAATTCGCAGCGCCGCCCGTTTCCCTCCTCCTCGTCCTCTCATCAACTCCTCTTCTTCATCCTTGTCAGCAGCACCATACTCACCGTCGTCAGCATCATCGCATTCATACGCCTGACCACCATCATCATTCACATCATCGTTTCGCCACACCCCTTACACGTTTTGTAGCCCATAGGGAAATTCAACCAAAGACACAGTGGGTGGCTGCGTCCGCATGGTGACTCGGGCTGCGTCCGCATGGTGACTCGGACCAATTTCGGCACACCCCTCACACGTTTCGTGGCCCCAGAAGGGAGCTCCACCGAAGGCCCCAACGGCTGTGTCCGCATGGTGACTCGGGTCCATGTCGGCCCCCCCTGCACACGCGTCGTGGCCCGAGAGGGAGCTCCACCCAAGGCCCCAGTGGCTGCGTCCGCACGGTGACTCGGGCCCACGTCGGCACACCCCTCGCACGCCTCGTGGCCCCGTGAGACACCTCGTCGGGGTCTTCGCCAGGACCTCTCCGAGGCGCCAGATGCCTGGCTTACGCGCGGATGCCTGCGCAGCCGAGCCCACGCTCTCTCGCGCCGCTCCAGCGTGTGCCTCGCCTCGCAGCCTCTGCCCCTGCGCGGCGCATCTCTCGGGTCGGGCGAAAGGGGGGGATAGCAAAGGGGGGGTTTGAGAATCAGCTCGCGTAGCTGATTTTCCCGGCGCCTCCCGGCGCTGGAGGCGGCCATGTGTCGAGGAATGCGGCCCTCGGCGAGGCCGAAACCGACTGCATGCAGCAAATGTCGTAACCCCCCCTTTCCCAATCCCCCCCTTTCGCCCGGCCCGATCCCTCCTGAGCCAAGGGATGCAGCAGGAGCTCGACCACAAGAAGCCTTCCACGAGAAGCCCGACCACGAGACTCCAGGCCGCTCCAGCGTGTGCCTCGCCTCGCAGCCTCTGCCTCTGCGCGGCGCATCTCCTGAGACGAGCATCGTGAGGCGCGGCGACACGCCGAGCGTGTTGAAGAGCGCGACCACCGCCACCGGGTCGGTGGCCGCGCAGATGGCCCCGAAGAGCAGGCAGAGGGTGAAGGGCCACCTCCCCGGGGGGGGCCGGGGGCAGCGGCGGGAAGCGACGAGAGGGGAAGGGGTCGGAGGGCGGGGCCCGGGAGCGACGAGAAGCAGCGACAGGAGGAAGCGACGAGAGGAAGCGACGAGAAGCAGCGACAAGAGGAAGAAGCGACGAGAGGAAGCGACAGCGGCAGCGGCGGGAAGCGACAGGAAGCGGCAGCGACGAGGAAGCGTCAGCGGCAGCGGCGGGAAGCGACAGGAAGCGGCAGCGACGAAGAAGGTCGGCGGCAGCGGCAGGAAGCGGCAAGAAGGAGCGACAGGAAGCGACGAGAGGAAGGATTTCCGAGGACATGATCTGTTTCGATCCGGGCGTGCTCCTGTATTTCGGCCTCGTGGCCCCGTTTCCGGGCCCGGAGACAATACAAACCTTGACCGGGGGCGAGAAGCAAGCTAAACAGGGAAGCGGTCGTGACTTCTTCATGGAAAGAACATGTAATCTCGCAGGGTGTCTGGGGAAGGATGGAGGGCAGGGGGGGGGGAGGGGAAGGGGCAGGAGGATGGAAAGACGAAAGGAAGGGGGCATGGGGAAGGGAGGAGGGGAGGGGGGGACGGGAAAGAGAAGGGGGGAGGCGAAGGGGAGGGGCAGAAGGATGCATGGGGTGGGGGGGAGGGGGACGACCGGCACGCGGACCCGAGGCACGAACATGACCGCAGGGCCCGCTCCGAGGTGCAGCGCCCCCCTCTCGGAATCCGGGGTCGCCCCGCCCGCCCCCTGGAAGCCAAGGGGGGGGGAGGATCCTTGCGTAGAGGACGAAAGAAGCACACAATCATAAACTTTTGGCGCTCCGCGCGGCTTCTTGGATTTGCGCTGGATCCCCCTCCCTGGCGCGCTCCGCGCGCCAGGGGCGGCGCCAAAGGCGCCGCGGGGGGGCCCAGCGCGGATCCAAGAAATCCGCGCGGAGCGCCAATAGTTCATGTCTATGTGGTCCCAGCGCGGATCCAAGAAATCCGCGCGCAGCGCCAATCCGCGCGGCGCTCTTCTTCGAACCCTGAGCTGGACGGCCTCTCGCCCCCGTCCCCGAGGACCCGAGAATGAGGACGACGACGGGACCCGCTCCGAGGTGCGGCCCCCCCGCCTGGAATCCATGGTCGCTCCCCCTTGGCAGGCCAAGGGGTGATGACCAGGATGATGACGTCATCGTCATCGTCAGCGTCATCGTCTGGAGTGGGGCTACCGGAGTTTGATTTCTGACCTTCGTGGGGTTCCTCCAGAGTTCGGGTACTCCACTTTCACCCTCTTCTTCTCCTCAGCGTCATCGTCGCCGTCGCCGTAGTCATCGACGTAGGGATGACGGTAGGGCCGCCCCGAGGGGCAGCGCCGCTCTCGGGATCCAGGGCCGCACCCCTTTGGGAGGCCAAGAAGGGATGACCCTGGGATGGGCGCCCTCTCGTCCCCAGCCCCTTCTCGCTATCCTCTTCCCACGTCCGCCGCCCAGGTGGTACGGTCAACACGTATACAATCAAAACCTCTGGTAAGGACGCGCGGTAAGGACGCAAGACCCTTGGAAGCCGAAGTTGGGTTTTTTGGGGCGGCGGACGACGAAAACCTCAAGGACGCAAGAGCAAGGAAGAGCAAGGACGCAAGGGTACCCTGAGCAAAGTCGCGCGTCCTTATTAAGGTTTTTGTCTGTAGTAAGGATGCGCGGTAAGGATGCAAGGGCCCTGGAGAGCCATGTTGACGTTTGGTCGGACGGGGCTGGCCAGCGAAAGCGGCCAGGGATGGTCCGGAGGGGAAGGATGCAAGGGTACCCTTGGAAAGTCCCTCATCATTGCTACGGGGAGACTGCAACAAGTAGACACATACGACAAGAAATGTCCGCCAGCGTGGACCCCAAATAGTGACTTCTTGCTGTCTACGCATTGCAATCTAGGTGGGTGCAATCAATGTGGTGAATCTAGGTGGTGTAACCCATGCGGCGCAGCCCATGTGGTGCAACAGCACTGCAACATGCAACGCAACATGCAACGACATACAAACCAGTGCAGTGCACATGCAGAGCGACACTGTGCCAGTGCAAAGCCATGCAGTGCCAAGAAGTGCACAGCAGCGCGCAGCAGGTCAGTGCACATGCCACGCCAACGCAAAGCGACGCCACGCAGTGCAAACCAATGCAAAGCAAGCCAGCATCACGCGGCGAGGCAGCGTCGACCACCGACGGCGACGGGCGGCCACGAGCCGACCGTCGCCGCCACCGACGTCCGCTCGCGGCGGCGGCCGGGCGGCGACGGACGCCCCGAGCCGGCCGGACCGACGCCGGGGCACAGTGACCCTGGGGAAGAGAAGCAAGAGCACATCCTGGCCATCGCTCGGACGTCCACTCCCTGTGTTTTTCCCAACCATCCTGTGGT